TCAAAGTGGTAATGTCTATATCAGGTCTGCACACCATATGGTTTGAGGGCCTCATGTAGCCAGTCAAACAACCTTATGCAGCCTACCAATTTTTTTAAAAAATAAGTAAATTGACAGTACCACTGCCACCATCCCAAAAGACATGTTGCCAAGCATCTCCAGTGCTTCTGCTGTTCCTTTAGCTGTGGAACAGCTGATTAGCACTCCAAATATTTACTAGTACTAATCTGAAATAATAGTGATAATACAACATATGCCCAAAGTCTAAAAATCATTCCATTTTCAAACAGTATAGATCAGGCATGATTTAACTTCCAGGCCCAAATGCCTGGGAAACCATTTCAGGATTTTAATGCCTTATGCCCCCTTATGATCTCCAAGAGAATGCTGTTTCATAGATGCTGCAACAGAAAAGGCACAATTTTTTAGGTACTACATGATGACATTTCCTAACAGAAGGGACCATGAATGCGTCAATCCTGGTTCTGGTGGAGTGATCAGAAGCAATCAGATACAGGCAATCCTGCAATTACCATGGCTCTCTGCCATGGAGGGCTTTATAGGTGACAGTCAACACCCCAAATTACACCTCTAGGGGGCCTATGAAGATTTCAGAGCACAGATTTCACATGGTTATATCACAAAGTGTCCAAAAATGCTTGTGTGGCTATATTCTGAAACATTGCAGCTTCCAAATACTCTTCAAGAGCAACCCCATGTACAACACATTACGGTACAGGTAGTCCCCAACTTGCAACCATTTGTTTAGTGACTTTTCGAATTTACAACGGCACTGAAAAAAGTGATATACGATTGGCTTTGACACAACCATTGCAGCATCCCCATGGTCACGTGATCACAATTTGGGTGCTTAGCGACTACCATGTATTTATGACAGTTGTACTGCCTTGGGATCATGTGATCACCATTTGTAACCTTTCCAGCCAGCTTCCGACAAACAAAATCAATGGGGGGAGCCAGATTCACTTAATGACAAGAGTCATTTAACAACTGCAGTGATTCAGTTAACAACTGGGGCAAAAAGGCCGTAAAATGGGGCAAAACTCACTTAACAACTGCCTTGCTTAGCAGTTTGGGCTCAATTGTGGTCATAAGTTGACAACTACATGTAATTTAGCTGGAAAGTGATTAAGGCATGACAAGGAAAACAGTGTAAATATCTACTTAGTCACAGTTGCCATCTGCTCTTTTAACAGGTGTTGTGAATCTAGGAGATCTCCCAACTGCACACCTGCTTGGTATATGGAGTGCTTCCATTTTTGGAGATGTAGATGGAAAGTTTTTGAATTCAGGAGTGCAACAAAATCTACCACCATATATTCACACATTAGGACTTCCTTAGGATCAAAATGTAAGAAGTTTAGTACAGCTCCTCTTACTGTTACATGAACTTGAAGATTATGGTACATTGTTTTTAGGAAATAGTACTTTGATCTTTTTTTTTACGCTAAGTTGATGCTTTGGAGTAATCTAGATCTCAGAACTAATTAAAATTTATATATTTTGATAAATAATTTTTTTATAAAGTTGTGATGAAGGGGAAAGTCAATTCTTTATGTATTTCTTTTATTTTTCTTTACTATATTCTTTTTTAAATTTCTTTTTTATTTCTATTTTGTATTTTCTACACCTATTTTTTCTTTTTCTTTTTTCTAGTTTGTATTAGTTTTTCTGTTGTAATTGTAATCTTTAATAAAAATAATCTAAAATTATGTATGTAAAACATGTATGGAACCTGGGAATTTAGACTTTGGATCACTTCAGTAAAAATGACGACTTTTAAAGTCATCGGTTGTTTTACTTTAAAGGATGAATACTATATCCCTAAAACATCCCAGAGTAGTATTTATAATTACATTTATTGACATCTCAATTAAGACGTGCAGCATTTTAAATCTTGGAAATAACTGGGTGATTATTAAATCCAATGACACAAAAAACCCTCTACAATTACTTTTTATATAAATTCTGTTAGTGTGAATCATTTTGATATGCAATTTGTAATAGTTGAATGGAATAAAGAATGAGAGATTACTTTACCTAGACAATGGAAAGAGGTGTTAACATCAATCCCAGAAATTTCAATAGATCTTAGGTTGCATTTTATTTAATAACAACAATATCAACAACAATTCTTTAGACTTACTGAACTCCATTGTGTTTATATAAAAAAGGCTGGATAAACTGTCATGTTGTTAAAAAAAGATGCAGTCAGATTAATGCTTTGTGTAAACCTATGTTTGTACAGTATTTTATAATTGTTCTGTTTTGGGAAGAAATCATTGCATGTAGTAACAAGGAGACAATATTTAGTGTTGTCATATTTTCATTTTTTAAAAATACTATATTCCTATTGCATGGAAACTGATATTTGTACAAAGAAAGTTTAAAAATATGCAGTATTCTACAGTTTTTGGAAAGATAAGATCTCTGTTTCTCTAAGATCTTCTGGGTTGATATTATTACTAAGATAGGAATGAATTATCAATATAGATTCATTTTGGGTAATTATAATAAAATATGAAATACATCTAACATTAATTGAATTGCATATGTAGAAATGTTATGCTTTTATGCATTAAATGTTAAATATGTATCCTGTATAGTTCGGTTGTTTTTTTTTTTACTATTTTGGGTTTCATTTTTCTCTTTCTTTATAACTTTTCCGTACAGATGTAATGGGCTGTGAGAATAACCTTGAGAGGGACAAGGAAGACTCACAACCTTAGACAATGGTCTGATGTGAAAAATCTGAGGTCAAAGTGGATCTGGGGATAAAGCAAGCTTCTCAGAATTGACCTTCTCTAGTTTTCTGGAACATAAAGGCAGGGCAGGGGTGAAGCTTTCAGACTTGCAAGATTCTGTTACTGTGACCTTACAATAAAGATAATATTAGTATTCTTGGTTTTGGTTTCCTGGTCTGGACTCTCTTTTTAAAGATTGACTACTGTTTATTTTTCTTTGCTTTTTATATTCAATTGATAGATGCTCTTAAAAATTTTTTGTAGTAAACTAAATATTTGTAAATATAAAGATCAGTTTATAAATCTAGATAAATGACAGCCATGGTAAATGATAATTAAGGTTGGTGTGTTTCACTGCTTGGTTCCCATTACTAGGTTTTACTTTAACATGAAAGAAGCTTAGGTTTATAGGACTTCACAGGAATAATAATAATAATAATAACAACAACAATAATAATAATAATAACAACAACAATAATAACAACAACAATAAGAGTTGAAGGGACATTGGAGGTCTTCTAGTCCAAACCCCTGCTCAGGCAGGAAATCCTATACCATTTCAGAGAAATGGTTGTCCAGTCTCTTCTTAAAAACTTCTAGTGTTGGAGCATTCACAACTTCTGGAGGCAGGCTGTTCCACTGATTAATTGTTCTAACTGTCAGGAAATTTCTCCTTAGTTCTAGATTGCTTCTCTCCTTGATTAGTTTCCATCCATTGCTTCTTGTCCTGCCTTCAGGTGCTTTGGAGAATAGCTTGACTCCCTCTTCTTTGTGGCAACTCTTGAGATATTGGAACACTGCTATCATGTCCCCCCTCGTCCTTCTCTTCATTAGACTAGACATACCCAATTCCAACAACCGTTCTTTATATGTTTTAGCCTCCACTCCCCTAATCATTTTTGTTGCTCTTCTCTGTACTCTTTATAGAGTCTCAACATCTTTTTTACATCGTGGTGACCAAAACTGGATACAGTATTACAAGTGAATTCATCCTGATTTTATTCTTAAAACCACTGTCACTTTATCAGCATGAGATGTTAACAAACATACAATATTAAATTTTCTGTAAGAATGTAACAAACAGTCTGCCAGTTTCTAAAGGATTCACATGTAGGGGTATACAAAATTTGAATGCATAAGTGTGAGCAATATTTCTGATATTTTTTTTAAGTGCCAAGGTCTATTCTTTTAGTCTAGAATGGATGAAAACAAATGTCCATTTGAATACATGTAATAATACTAACCGTAATAGGGCTGTACATGTCATATTCACACAATTATCCCCCCCTTTATGTCTATGCAAACAAAATAGCTACATGCAGAGTTATTTCTCTTAAGTATCTGGCAAGGCATATGACTGTTAGAAATTTGGCTGTGGTTAAAACAAAATTTAGCGCTCGTTAAAGCATTAAGAGAAATGCTGATGGAATCAAAGCAAATTGTCTGATAAAGCTATAAAGTTATCCTCAGCACACATAAATGACTTAATGCTACCATTAGATTTTCATGCAGACTCTTTTTCTGCAACTAGCAAGTAGCTACATAACCCTTCAGTGTGGTAACTGAATTAAGAACACAGTGAATTCCAATAATAGCAGGACTCGCTATCTTGAATATATTACATTAAGAGATTCTTCATTTTATACTGTTGCTTTTTCTTCCTTCAGACCCACAAAAAACTGTGAGAATGTCAGTTTCTCCACAGCATGTTTTACCGATGTTCTCTAAATGCACTTGGGGTAGCTTGGTGTGGTAAACCAGAATTCTGTAAATTTACTATACATAACGTCCATTTTCAAAAACTTCCTTCTTTAGGTTTTGTCAAACACATGTCATGAAGGAACTTTCCATACTTCAAGAGTGAAAAAAAAGATAATTGGGTCTTATTTCCTCTCTGCATGTTGGTTTTAATGGGTGCTGTCAAAATATGTCCCTCACCGAATATGCCTTTTTGGAAGAAACCAGAACTGAAAGGGTTACTGGGTGTGTTACTGCAGTGGTTATCAGCAGACAGCCATCTAACCTTTGGTACTTACAGGAATTTTATGGCTCTTGATCATATTATCAAACTCTTCATTAATTTTTTTATATTTTTCTTCAGTGCGTGGGGTGAGGGCATAAGAGGAGTCTGGATCAGGGCTTTCACAGCCTTTGTTTTCTTTCTTGTTCAATGCCTGCCAGGTTCAGAGAAATATCAGAAAGTAAAAAAAATGAAAGGGAATTCAGAGTACTTACACATAATCTTTGTCTGCTGATCATTAGATCAATATCTTCATTTATTTTCCTGTACTTGTCCTCAGACTCAGGGCTGTGACCTACTGAATCATCTGCATCGGGATCTGGACTGTCACAGCCATTAAGTCCTTTCTTTCTCAACGTCTGAAATACATAATTTTGAAAGTTGAAGCCTTGACAGAGGCTGCAAGAGCGATTTAGGGCCTTTACCACAGTATAGACTGGTTGAAAGCTGTCACATTGTACATTAGGGAGAGACAGTGAATTGAGATGTTTAGGTCAGTAAATGGCAGCTTTTGTTACCAAAGAGAGCTCTTCTGAAACTAGAATTAGTAAATGAAGAGAGCATGACTTCTAATAAAATATCTGTATTACCATCACGGCTTTTCTCTGGAATGGAAACATCAATAGCTTAAATATTTCAGAGTTCACCTTTTAAACACACACAGGGTAATGAATTCAATCAAAAAAGAACTGCTAGTAGTTCACAGTGAATGCATTGACAGTACAGTATCAAGCCCGCAATTGTTCTTATATTAATCTTCAGATCAATCTGTGCTGATACTGCTCTGTAACAGCACTAAAGTAAACAGTTAAAGTGATAATGGCCATGCAGTTGTCAAGATACTGTGACTCTTACATGTAATATCACAACCTGAAAAATCGTGTTTTTTAAAAAACATTTTTATCAGTTTCTATAAAGTAATACTTATAATCAATTATCTATAGTAGCATGATCTTCAGCATTAATGAAATGCTTTGATCAAGATTTTTCCCTTGACACACAAATTTACAAAAACCAGAAGAGAAAATGAAATAACTACTTATAAATCACTTTGGAGCAAAGAATCAGGTTAAAATTACAATTTTTCCTTGCTATCATCTTACCAGAGGTTTTATCAGGATTTTGAGACAAGTCTTGCTGTACATCAAGTTCTGAATTTTGGATTTGACATTTGGAAATTAACATTTTTAGCATCTTGTAGTATTTAATTTTTTTAAAAAAAGTCAACTTTTTAAAATCTTATAGAGAAAATACCAATCAAAGGACATGTTCCATTCAGATTTCTAGGGTGCCAACAGTCTGCACAAATAAGTCAGAGATTTGAAATATAAAGAAGAACAAATGCTTTTTTTTTTTTTGCAGTGCATCTCAAATGTCTTTCTCTGTCATTGAAGGCCAGCCAGGTCTTATGCTCCTTGCTCCCATTAGGAAGATTTATGTCTTGAGTAACACAAGGAGACAGGAATTTGTGCAGTATATTCCCAATCCAACCCTATTGTGAGTGTAACATTTGCCACTCTTATTTGGCAGTGCAGAAAGTTCAATAAAAATGCTTGGTGGCATTTCTGAATGTCAGCTCTTACTCATTCTCATTTTAAAAATTAGGGAATTTGTGATGTAATGATTAAAACATAATATATGCATATAAACTTTTCATTTTTAAAATCCATAGTTGAAAATCTAGTGGTAGGTTGAGAAAAATGAATAACTTTAAGGATGCTGAGATTTATTAAGTGGGAACAAGATGCTGAGAAGATGGAAAAAGAACAGGTGATGCTAAGGGTAATTCCCAAAGGACCCCCAAATAAAACCTATGAAATGGCAATGGCAAAAAATGAATGTATGATAGAAACAATTGTTGGGCATGACAATAACATTTATATGAGTTTGACACCTACAGGATAAAAGGTACTCATCCACTTATTGGGGAAGACTATTGAACTTTTAAAAGTAGATCTTGATATAATAACAGGGCCAGAAAAAAACTACAAGGAAGTCTGGTCACTGATGTTGCTAAAGGCACTTGTACTCCTTAGAACACCAGATATAAAAGGAGTTTCTAATTTCACAAGGACACATGCAACTGGAACATGGAATGTGAGAAGCATATACCAAGTAAAACATGAAATTGTCTAAGTATGGACTAAGGAACCATGATAGTTTGTAGGGTGGAGTGTGCCAGAATGGAAAAAGATGTATTTCAGACAATTCAGTTTATATATCACTTAATTAAATAAAATCCAAATGGCAAGAATGGTAGATATACAATTCTTCTACAAATTTACTCAGACTTCAGTGTCCTGAGGCTAGCAAGAGTTAAGTTTAGTCATCTAAGCATTCACCAACAGCCCAGGAACAGAGGAGAGGAAGGAGTGAATGAGTACACTTCAACTGATCTGAAAAACATGCAAGTTGGATTCTTGTTCCATGAGAGCTCAGCACTTCACAATTTGACATAAGGCTGCATCACTAGGCATCCGCAATCTTATGTATTCTAGATATTCACACCTGTCAGCAACTCTGCACCTGTTGTCTACTCTGGCAAAGACCAAGTGATAGCAGCCAATCACAGCAGCTCCTGCTACAACATGGCCATACATGGCTTTTCTCAATCGTGTTTCTGTGTACTAAGGCTGCTAATCTCTGTGGATTTCAGCAGTCTGCTTTTTGTCCTTGTAATGGTGTCACAGTTTTCAGTTCTTCACCGAGTTAAGTGTTTAAGAATGACACATGCTGTTTCTTATACAAATTTCCTTCCCACAATAGCGCACGTATGCAAATGGATTTTAAACTTGTTTACACACATCCAGATTACCTCCTCAGTGTAATTTTTAAAAATGTATTTGTTCTCATTTGAAGAAGAAAATCCTTTTGCTTTATAACAACTCCTCAATTGAACTTTCTGTAGGTGGGCACTGTGGGCAAAGACTTATAGTAATATGATCGTTCTAAAAATTAAAACAAAACAAAGATGTATTGATGTATTGATCCAATATTTTAAGAGTGGATCCAAATATTTTCTTCATGATGAGTAAGGCTTCTCCTCCATTCAGATGTCAGTTTACACATACCTCATTATTTGAGTGAAGTTAAATTCAAATGTGTTCAGTTTTTGCCATCTTTAAATATATATATAAGTAGGCTATGGAATGAATCTATCATGTAACACAAGTCCCTATGCTAAAAGTCTTTTTTCCTTTATCCACTCTGTTGGATCCAGCCTTTTATATTTTCTTTATAAGAACAATATCATCAAGCAAAAAAATAATTTCTTCTAGGTTTTATTATTTGATCAGATTATTCCCTGATATTAGTAAAATGATTTCATCAAAGCAGTTATCTAATACTTTCTCCACCACCTATTTCATGCTCATCTGAAAGTCTTTTGTTTAAAAAATCCCCAAATAAAATATATCAGATATTATTAGCGTTTACTTATTTAATATTAGTAACATTCAAATAAAAGCACAAACAACCTAACCTATCTAGACCCTTTCCAGTCGGGCTTCAGGCCGGGGTACAGCACGGAAACGGCATTGGTCACGTTGGTAAATGATCTCTGGAGGGCCCGGGACAGGGGTTATTCCTCTGTCCTTGTTCTTTTGGACCTCTCAGCGGCTTTTGATACTGTGGACCACAGTATCATGCTGCGGCGGTTGGGTGGGTTGGGAGTGGGAGGCACTGTGATGCGGTGNACAGAGGTCGACCCCAAGGCCCCTTACTTGTGGGGTTCCACAGGGGTCGGTCCTCTCTCCGCTTCTGTTCAATATTTATGTGAAGCCGCTGGGGGAGATCATTCGTGGCTTTGGGGTGGATTTCCATCAGTACGCTGATGACACTCAGCTGTACATATCCACTCCGGGCCACCCCAACGATGCCCTTGACGTGATGACCTGGTGACTGGAGGCCGTGAGGGTCTGGATGGGGAGGAACAGACTCAGGCTCAACCCGTCCAAGACCGAGTGGCTGTGGTTACCGGCGCCTCGGCATAGTCAGCTGATTCCATCGCTGACTATAGGGGGCGAAACCTTGGCCCCCTCGGAGAGGGTACGCAACTTGGGTGTCCTCCTGGATTCGCGGCTGATGCTGGAAGACCAGTTGTCGGCCGTGACCAGGGGGGCGTTTTATCAGGTTCGCCTGATTCACCAGTTGCGGCCTCTTCTGGACCGGGACGCCCTACGCACAGTCACTCACGCACTTTCACCTCCCGCCTGGACTACTGTAATGCTCTCTACATGGGGCTCCCCTTGAGGAGCACCCGGAGGCTCCAGCTGGTCCAAAATGCGGCCGCGCGGGCGGTGTTGGGGGGGACTCGACATTCCCACGTGACGCCGCTGCTCCGCGAGCTGCATTGGCTGCCTGTGGCCTTCCGGGTGCGCTTCAAGGTGCTGACTATCATCTTTAAAGCGCTCCATGGCATCGGACCCGGATACCTTCGAGACCGCCTCCTGCCGCAGATTACCTCCCATCGACCTGTACGCTCCCATAGAATGGGTCTCCTCAGGGTGCCGTCGGCCAGACAGTGCCGGCTGGCGACCCCAAGGGGGAGGGCCTTCTCTGTGGGAGCTCCCACCCTCTGGAATGAACTGCCCCCAGAGATCAGGGTCATCCCTGATCTCCCTTCCTTTCGCTGCGCCCTCAAGACTTGGTTATTCCAGCTTGCAGGACTGGCCTAGGGTAATTTTTAGAGGGGTTTTAATTATATTTTAAATTCGACAATATTTAAATATCTCTTTTAATTAATTTTAAATTTGTATTGTTATTTATGTATTTTAATTGATTGTCAGCCGCCCTGAGTCCTACGAGGAGAAGGGCGGGATATAAATCCAAATAATAAATAAATAAATAAATAAACCTGAATTTGTATCCGGTGATATGAAAGTTGCATTTTCAATGACTAACACATGATTTCTCACAGATACATGCTCAAGACCTTAGATAGAAACAAATAGCTTCATTTCTCACTTCTGAAGTTATACAAGCCCCTAAGTGACTTAGCATCTCCATCTCAATCTTTGATGGAGAAGGAAAGATCATATAGGATAAAATATCAGGAGAGGAAACTGGAGGACATCTGGAAAGCTGACAAAGCTGAATTTAAGATTTAGGAGGCATACACCGCATGACTGCCTGATATGAATCTCCTGCATCAACTTTCCAATTTTTTCAACTATGCCACCACCGTTCTGTGTTAATATTGTTTCCTTCAAAGCTCAACTAAATTCCTGCTCTCCATTTAGCAGCCTGTGGAACTCCTCATTGGAATAAGACTGATGTTCTGGCATTGGACCTGGTTACCTCCGAGACCGCCTTCTGCCACAGATCACCTCCCACCGGCCGATACGCTCCCACAGAGAGG